TAGTTCACACAACGAATGCACCAATTGCTGTAGTAAAACAAGCAAGAACACTTTTTCTAACGAAAGGCATCTTATCTACTCTTGAAATGGAACTAGATTTATTCTTTTTTCTTGTTTGTCAGTGTACTGTTCCGACAGTTTCCTGAAAATCTGATTTTTTTCTAGGATGTTGACTGCATAATAATACAATGAACAGAGTCTTGCATTTTTAGAATGATGATGGATTCAGTAGTATGATGCCAGCAAAGAAGGATTGTGTCTCCAGTCGATTCTAATGGTTTGAAAATTTATACTCAAAAAAAAATTGATTTTGCCAAACCTGACTAGTAGTTATTATTGTGAAATTAGAACTGTCGTATGTCTGAACAAAAATGTTGTTAATTATTTATGATGTTTTCAGGTTTTGACGGTAAAATTTAGACGTCTTCACTGGGCCTTGGGACCCATTGAACAGTTTGTGATATTTCATAGAATATGGGAATAACTAGGGAAAATAGCGGACCCAATCGATTTTGCCCCGTATAACCACAAAAAAATAGCTTTTTCCCGGTTTTACCTTCAAAATGCTCCTTGCTTCGCGTCTCTAGAGGAATGGAATTCTAAAATCGAATTCGAATTTGAGTTTACGAAATTCGGAATTTCACCTACATATTCCGTTAAAACGCTTGCCGCATGACGCACGACATCCACTAGTACATTACAGTGACTGCTTCGAATTCATAATTTATGCTGAAAAAACTACTGAATCTTACTTGAGAAACTGCAAAAAATGCCCCTCGATTGAGGTTCTGCACGATTTGATTAAAAATGGATGGAAGAGACAGAAGTTATCAAATATAAAGAGTGGGTTTTAAAACCTCGAACCACTCTGATAAACAGGCTACAGACAGCAGGATGAATTCACATATGAGTTTTGTCAACGAATCACTCCCCTGTTATCTCGTTTATTTGTGGCGAAAGAACAGGGAAATTATTTGAAAGAACTGAAGGAGTCATTGCAAGCGAATCGATTTTTAGCAATCATCGACTTCGCTGAAAATTATGGATTTATTGTCCACGTTACAGCCCCTGGATACCATTGGAATAATAATGCACCAACTGTTTACATCGTCGTTGTACTCTATTACAAGCAGGGTGATACAATTGTACATCGGAGTTTAGCTATAATATCGGATTGTATGGCCCACGATGCAATAGCGGTACATACATTCACGAAAGTCATTCTTATATTCATAAAATTGATCAATGGGAAAGTTTCAATTTTCTACTTCACGGCCGGTGCTCCCCAACAATACGAAAATTCCAAGAATTTTGTGAATCTGTATTATCATCAGGAAGATTTTGGGATGATTCTGGAGTGGTATTTTTTCGGTACGACACACGGTATCGGTCCTTGCGATGAAGTAGGAGATTCTTTGAAGGAAAGAGCTGCTCGAGCTAGCTTGCAGCTTCCTTCGGATCGTCAAATTACAACATCTCTAGATATGTATTGATGGGCTTCAACACATCTACCTGGGGGGAAGGTGGAATGTTGTAAAGAGGAGGATGTCGAAAAAATACCAGGGACACATAAGATTCACTGTGTACCATCCAGAAGAGGATGGTACACCTACAACCTCAAACAAAAACGACAACTTGATTAGCAATAGTACGGAACGCCCCCGTAGCAATAATAGCAAAGCGGTATTCATACTTTGAATTACTCTTTATACCAACCTGACTAGGAGATTAGGTATGAATCAGATCTGGCGGAGGACTGATGATGACACAATCAAGCTTGGAGCAATAACAAAAGGCCAACCTTGGTTCCGTAATGTTCGGAGACATTGTCTAGCATAGGAGGACAACCTGTTTCCTAATTCCAGGACTCGACGTTAGAATTATCAACAGGAAAATTCGTTTTAGGAACATTTCCTGTTTCTTTTTAATTTTATTTTTAGGACAACTTACATATCACTCTTACCCTTTTCCTTTCCTGAATTTCTTCTTTTTATCTCAATCCGATTCCTGTAGCATATTTTGAAAATGCGTAAAAGTAGAGGAAAAAAATGAAATAAATATTTTTCGTTTTTTATGATTAAAAAAAAAAATTCGGAGAAATATGTTGATTACCAAAATTTTACCTTTTTGAATCCAAATCCATCGCGTGCTGGTTTGTCGATGAACTTTCAGCGACCTCCTGGAACTCTCAACCCGGAAAACTAGAATGACGGGGAAGATCGAGAGAAACCAATCTTGCCAAGAAGGGCCCCAGTCCTTTTAACCTTCAAAGGACAAGGTCACGGTATCTCTGCACGTTCCACAACTAGCTCAGAGTAAAACCGCGGAGGTGTGTGAGTACAGGCACTTAATACAATGGAACACCGTATTAAGAACCAAAATTAAAGAAATTATGTTTCACAAATAAACCAAATAATAGATGCTTCGATATAGCAACAACAAAAAAATAATAATATGGACAAAGAATCGCGGGGACGTACTCCCGCGGAAAATGATTCGATATAAAAAAAATAGTAGAACCAATCGGAAATAATAATTAAATGAAAAATAAGATATTTCGGCGTGGAGGACGCTACGCCGCCGCGAATCACCCGAACGCGACGATAACGCGAGAGCCACGACACGACACAAATTATGGTGACGCGCCAAAGAAATGAATGTTTCAATAATATCAACAATAATTAATGTCCGAGGGCCAACAATAAGTAATAATGCAGCTGAAGGCTGTTGAGTGCCGCATCACAGATAGGAATTGAATTCCCCTCAAACGCGTCTAAAATGGCCGCGGAGTCCGTATTCAATAAATAACGCGTGCACTCACTGTAAAAATTCCTACTCACCGTGTACCGCGAATTGGCTGCAACACAATCCAGCTAATGATCCCACGGCAACGACGGAACATGACGGTGATACTCACTACAAAAAAAAAGAACTGGTCTACAGGACGAAATAATAACTCAAAGAGTTTAAAAAATAATTGTACGAGCACGAAAAATAATCAAGGTGTCTACGTGGCCAAATCCCAACGAAAAGTCTCCTCTGATCGGTCCGATTCAACCGTCAGGGGTCCGAATTTCAATTCCCCCACCCCTTTGTCTCACAGGATTATATGGCGGGCTCTCGGCTCGGGCTTAAATTATTTTATTCCATCATGTATTTTCTAGCGGTCTTTTATCCGCGTGGAAAATTCCCAGGTATATGAGAGTTGCACCTCGCGCTTCAGAAAATTGTTATGCGCTGCTCCGTGCGGGCCCCAGCATAATCCGCTCGCCCCTCGATGCTGTGGCAACCGTTTTTTTTAGCGGCTTCTTTATGTGCCGTTCTCCGGTGAGGTGGTGGGGGTCGAGCGTAGAAGCCTGCGTAGCTTGCTGGCGCTCCATTCCTCCTCGTCCCTCGTACATGTGGCTAGACTCCATGTGTGAGTGGGTGAGTTGCTGATGGCCATGACTCCACTTCATCAGCTGCTGCCCTCTCGCGTCCAACCTCTTGAAGCTCCCGCGTGACGCGGTGAGCGTACGAATTTAACGAGAGAAAAGAAATAGAGAGATGTAGTCAACTATAATAGAAAGAAATAGTGGCCCTGGGTGATCCGACTCCTCGTTGGGCTTTCTTTTCCTAATTTTCTCCCCAAGAACCGCGGTCAGTTCAGGCGAGGACAGTGCATGACATTTGTCATGTCATAGTATGTATGGGGCAATGATTTCATGAATTTATCGCCAATGAAACAATGGAATTAATAATTTCCTGTTTTTCAAATGTAGCTGTCGTTTCACATATTCATATTCTAGATTTGGTATTCTTTGGGATACTGTTTTCCTACAGCAATTCAAAATGTGATGTTTAAATCAGACTTATAATGCCTTTAAAAAATTATTCAAATGCTACTTTAATTGATTGTATCTCCTCCTATATTTTCCTGAATCGCTTTCACGTGAAACGAGAGAATTTCAAAATTCATGTAATTATAAAGTTTCTGTTGGGAAACTTCCATCCAGACTTTCGAACTACTTGTGACCTCCAGTGTGGAAATCACTTGGCCGAATCTCCACTTGTTAGACAGTCAAACCGAGGCTGTAGTCCAGTTAATGAGGCCGCAAAGAAAATGTGAAATCTCACGATTATTCGACTGTGTTCGAAAAATTGTCAATTGATATGTGAAAAGGTTCCAAACAACATATCAAAATATTTAAAGAATGTTCAAACGACGTATTATTGAAATTAATAAAAAACCATCCGTTTTTCAACGGTTATCGCCAAAAACACCGAGGACTGCAGTTTGACTCAATCAATTGGAAATAAAAAAAGATCGGGGTGTAGAGGAGAAAATTCTCTATGGATTTGAAATGGGAACCAATGGTATACAAAGAATTGTTTTCATATGAAAAAATCCCGAAGCTTTTTTACCCTGAATGATGCTGTCGTCGAAAGAGTTGCGCGTGCAGCCACAGGGGATCCGCTAATTGTTTGCCACCATTCAGGGTACGAGAAATTTTGAATTTTTCAATCTAAAAACAATGCATTATAGAATATTGGTTTCCACTGTCAATTTATAAACAATTTTTTTCTCTATACGCTGGTATTTTTTGTTTTGGAATTGATTGAGCTGGGCGGAAAATATTAGAATTTTTGGTGCTAATAATTGGAAAATCAATGGTTTTTAATTGAGTTAAATAGTACGTCGATTGAAGATACTCTAAATATTTTGTTATGTTATTCAGGACATTTTTGTCAATCGATTGAGAATTTTTCTCACAGAGTCGTATTAGCGAAGTTCCAAACACCTTCATTAACTGGGCTACTGAGCGCTCGGTGCGGACGCGTGAGAGGAGTTTCAGCTGCGTCTCCGCATCAATTTCTACACGGGCTAAGAGAATTGCATTTACATAGGTTTGGATTTCTACATAATAATGGATCATTAAATAATGAATTATTAAATATAATAACCGAGAATTTATAGTTATCGAAACTAATGCCCACGTAATGTGTTTCTTTTGCTGCAGATGGAATATCACGAGACTCAAGCTCGGAGTTATCAGTCAGCTGTACCGAGTCGGCTTGGAAATTGGTGTACCAGCAAATGGCAGTATCGCTATTGACAATATTCGGTTGGACGACTGCTTTCCGGAATCAAAGCCATTAAATACACGGAACAACTGCACGCCTGATATGTTCCGGTGTAATAATGGCTCCTGTCTAAATAAAACGAGGGTTTGTGACTTGACTCCGGATTGCTCAGAGGGCGAGGACGAAATACTAGAATGTGGTAATTAAGATGGAAAAGATCCTTCAGATGTTCTAAAATTGAGATATCAAAAATTTCAATCGATGAACATATTGAGGATCTTTTAAGAATCGTTCGCCAACTCCGGCATGTCTCTACTTACTAATAATTAATTTTATTTAGTAATAAAATATCAATTAAAGGCATTATGGCAGAAAAAATGCCACACATCAGCATAACGATTCATTTGAAACAGTAAAATAGTCTATTAGGTTACAGGTGTGAAAAAGGGAGAATGTTAATGCGATAGACGAGGGGAGCCAAACAGAGGGGGCCCCGGCGCCTTGGCCTGGCTTGTCGAGTTTATCGCTAAGCTCCACGTGTCTACGTCTGTCCCTAAAAATATTAACAAACGAGTTTAACGTTCCCTCGTTTTCATACGTATGACGTACACTATTTCTTTAAATTAGTGTTTGAAAATTTTTTTTTCACACATCTGCATGAAAAGTTCGTGTTTTCCACCCTTGAGTGGAAAGTATTCACTTTCCTCGCGCTCATCAGAAAGCAAGATACAAACTTTTCTTTGCACGCGTATTAAAATAGTATATTCCCTATCTAGAGAGGGAAAATCAAGGAGTCACGCTCGCAATTGCACATTGTGGTAAGCACATGGGTAAGGGTCTTTTATGTAATCTCCCGTAGTCAGGACGTTATTTTCTGTCACAGCGTAGGTGCAAAGGCAGATATCCCTCCCGCGAAGCGCCCGTCGTGACGGAAAATAGCATGTGCACCACGGACGGGGAAAACATGGCTTTCCGCCCTTGGTGCACAATATACTATTTGACTACCAAACGGAAACTACTTCTGAATAGAAAATCATACCAAACAGTGTCGGTGTGAGGGGTGAGGGGGAACGGGCAACCGCGCTTATGTAGGCGTTATGTGCTGTAGTGAGCATTCCGTATATAAAAATGATAGAATCGACCAAAAATCTCAAGGAATTAGCTGGGGTAAGAATGAACTCCAAGTTGTATCCAGAAAGTCAGCGGTTATAAACGAAAAGTGAATCCCGTAAACAAAAAGTCACTTTTCACCTATTATCATAAAAATTACGGAAAGTGCCACTTTATGCACAAAAATCTGTAAATGAAAAGGTGTAGGAACTCAGGGGGTAGTGGGAAGGTTCAATTCAGTAATAAATGCAATTTAATAAACTAATCACAGTATATTTGAAAGACGTAAGAAATATGTACAAAAGTAAAGATAGAAGTGATTCGGTATAAGGTTCGTAATCGACTGAGGGTTTGAGGTAATTAGCGGCCCGAGGCGAAGCCAAGGGCTACTAATTACACGCGCTGAAAATTACGGTCTCACATATGTCGAAAAATGTTTTTGACAGTGATGTCACGTTCAGTAAATGAAAAATAAACGAAAAGACTTTTCGTTTATTTTTCATTTACGAGTAAACGAGAAGGGACTTTTCTGCACGAGGGGAACGTAGCAGTAGTGTCAAAAATTTCATTTCAGGTGCATAAAGTGGCACTTTTCGTAACTTTTATGATATTAAGCAAAAGGTGATTTGTCGTTTACGGGATTCACTCTTCGGTTACAACAGCTGACTTTCTAGTTAGAACTTAGGGTTCATTCCTATGTCGCTATTTGAAAGATGGTGCCGTCGTTACATTTTAGACCAATTGGGTGTCATTATTCCCGCAACTCCGTGTATAGCTGAAAACGTCGGTCTAGTTATCTTAATTGAATTACATCACCCATACGGTAGCCATTACGCATTAGAATCCTCTGCTTTTGATTATTAATGGTCTGAGTATTTGATGGGTTAACCGTGTCTGTTGCGTGCTTGCACTTACGAATAAATTTCATAGAAATACCTAGTAAATTCGCTAGAAAATTCAATTGCATTTTGAGTAAAATTGCTGTTAGTTTTTGGCTGATTCTATCGATTCCCTGACTGGAACGCACACTACTATACACAACGCCTATATAAGCACAGTTGTCCATTTCCCCTCTCCCCGCACACTGATCAGGTGTTGGGGACTTGGCAGGTGCGTCTTCTATTTGGCTCATCTCGTCTATCGCTCAGCTGTGCGTGTCCTACGACTATCCCTAAAAATATTACCCCACTGATATTAACATTCCCCCGTTTTCACACTTGTAACGTAATATACTATTTTGACACTGCTGCTATGTTCACTTCGTGTCGACAAGTGCCTTTTCTTTTACTCGTAAACAAAAAAAATCAGTTGGCCACTCGCTGAACGTAACATCACTGAAAAAAAAATATAGTTCGACACATGTGCGACGGGGATTTTTCAGCTCGTGTAACTGGTAGTGCTCAGCTTCGCCTGGGGTCTCCAGCTTCACACTCGTGAAAAATCCGTCGCACTTGTATAGAAATATATTATTTTTGATGATGAATTTGTTTGTTACTCAGTGAGTTACGTTTGTTTTAAGTGCAATGAAATTTGTTCATGAAGCAACATCATATAGGTTGAAAGAGTTGATCAATTATCCGGAGTAATTACTTGAGGAGCGGAGTACAATTCATACAGTGAGAAAGAGATCGTAGAACGGTACCCTTTCACTATCAAATTCCCACTCTTACCTTCGTCATCTCTCTTACGCTCATTCGTGCCATCTATTATCATTTTACCAAATTGCAATCTCCACTGCTCAAATTCACCATCTTCTTCTTTCGCATTATATGAAGAATCATCCTAACCATTCACAATTTACTATTGTATTGCTTAGTGTGTTTATTGCTGTTGAGGATATTCTTCTTACACGGAAACCATCCCGAGTATCCCTCACCGATTTCGATGAGCTTGAAATATGTTATTCTCCATCAAAATCTAAGGTATACGTATTTTTTTTCTGCGGATAAAGACTTTGAGGGGGTTAAACCAACCTCCGAAGTTGACAGGTTTTCAGGACCATTTGACTGTTTCATATATTGGCATTCAAAATTTTAGAACGAAAACACATGCATGATAATCTATAAGAAAAATGATGAAAAATGGCGTTTGTTGCATTTGAATAGGGTCAATTCCAAAAAAATGATAGGGGTTCAAATCCAAAAAAATCTTGTGAAAAAAAAATAACGCTCGTATTTCAATGGTATGAATGGCTATCAAACGAGCAAGTAAAAGTAGGAAATACGGGTTTTTGCATTTTTTCGAAAGAATGGGTGTAGGGGGTAACCCACCCTCGAATTTAACTCAACACATTACAAGTTGAATATTGGATTTCTTCTCGAAAGAAGACAATTTCCAATGTGTGAGGTGAAGAATCTCGTCGGTCTTGTTTAGAAAGAGTGAATGACAAAATAACTATTAGAGTTGAAATATACAAATGTTTTGCAACAAATACTTTTTCGTGATTCAGGGGAGAATTGAAAGGAGAACTGGAGTAGCCTCTGCGGATTACTGTTTTTTTTGGAGGAGGAATGAATACAGTGCAACCCAGTACAGCCCTTCTTCTAAATTCATAAAAAGGATAGAGGGATGTTGAAGAATATTCTTTCAGAATATCACTTTTATTTATATTTTTACATACCTAGAAATATAATGATCTGACAATTCCATTATCATTTCTTTTTTTCTATTCTTCCTTCATTCCACCCCCACTATGTCATCATTATTCATAAGTTTCCTTATTTTTCCTATCATAAGGCGTTAAGAAAATCATATTTTGAGGTCTTCTTATAATTCTCCTCTTTTATCTATTCATTATATTTTTTGCAATAATGATAGTCGTCGAAGAAGTGTTTGAAACATAATGACTTCTTGCACCAAGAACAATGAATAATAGCAATATTCGTGCACGCCGGTATTTCGCAATGCGACTTGCAAAATTCACCGAATGCGAAATGGACGGGATTTTCAAATTCATCTGGTTTGGTTTCTACGTAACCGCTTCTGTACCAAACATATTTGAAGAGATTGACATATCGTGGTGACGACAATTGATTATGAGTTAGAGGTTGCAACTTGATGACATTATTCTTTAAATGTAAATTCAAATCATAATCCATTAATATAACACTATCAGAGAAATGTCTTATGAAGTTTTTCCAAACCCCAAATCCAAAAACATCGAGTGGTTGGAGTTTTCCAGTTGTCCCTTTAGGTATAGTCATTACCTCCATATCCTTATTGCGTGTTTTGGTAGCTTCCACGATTGGAGAACAGTGTCCGGTCCATGAATCCACCAATAATAGACTTTTCACACCAAAATTCGGGACAAAAACATATTGCAATCAAGTTTTGAAATGTTCTGAAAAAAAAATAGAACAAATGAACGTTATCGTTGGAGCGACGTCATCATTACGGATAAATAAGAAACGAAGTATTAGACCAATCAACACGGTCTCATACCTGAAGTCAGTTTCCCACATTTGGATACATCTACGTATACATTATCCGGACGAAACAGTTTTTCTTTTACTCTGGGACCGAAATGACCGCTTGGTTCTTTCAAAACTAAAAAGAGTGGAGAGAGGAGTTTTCCTTCGGCTGATATAGTTGGTTGAATAATATAACTGTGTGTCGTCGATGTTAGGGATTGCACGATACATTGTACTTGTTTTTCACCTTCTTCAGCCAAAGTTCTGCCTGAATGCGTTTCAAACTGAAATCCGCTTTGATCAGAATTATATATATTTGATAAACCGTACATTGCAATCTCTCGTTTCACATCATGGACAAACTATTCCGATTTTTCCTCTAGAACTTGACGGTCATCAATTGCTTTCGATGTAACAAATTTATTGATTTTCCTCGAGACAATACGATGTGCTTTTTTAAATGCTCGTATCCACTTGTTGGATGCTTTAAAACGAAATCCTCACTACCTATATGTTTTTGGGCTTGTAATGCCCATCGTCGTAGGTTACAATCGTGTACAATCATTCCAGCGTTGACAGCAGATTTGGAATTTTGTAGTGTGTATTTACAAATCCGATCAAGTTTATCTTTATAGCCTCCTTATTAATGTTATGTGCCCAGCGTCTCAACTGCCGTATTGAAGTTACTTTTCGAAATTGCTGTTTGACAGATTCTAAGCTTAAATTTTTTTTCTTCTTACCACTCCGCCAATATGCAACAGCTCTAGATTTGTAATCGTAAGACAAATTCCCCTCATCTTTAGTACAGGTATCAGGGTCTATCGGCGGTTCATGAAGATTATCCGCGTATTCTTTGTCTTCGACCATCTTCATGTTCCAGTCTTTGTAAGGTTCCTCAAAGTTTAACGAATCTCCCACCGTCACTTCGATGCCAGAATACTCATTCATTGCATGTGATAAAACTTCCTCAATGATATTTTTCAATTGGATTTCTTCATTATTTCTAGGTGATTCTGGAATATTCATCGCTTGAAATGTTGTCAGCAGTAATTGAATAACGTTCGTGGGATTGACTCTTATTTCTACGTGTAATAATTATCTAAATGTCTCTCAAAAATACTTTTCTGTCCTCGTTCTAACTATATTTAAATTTTCACGATATACACGATATACACAATAGTTCTATATCTGGTGTTTCGAAAGTGTCAAAGTGAACGAAAGATGATAATCATAACAAAAGACTGGCTGGGCACGATAGTGTTTTCCTTATGCTTTCATTTATTAGATTGATCATACTTTTATCGTCAAGTCCTGATAGCAGAGAAAAATACGTCTGGATAGAGCACACGCCCACCGCGGTTTAATCCCGAAAATAAAATGTACAAAAATAACTCTGTTGATTAAGACTAATCCAAAGTCGCAAAACACAAATATTACGGTTATTGATATTGTTATATATAATTTCATTGTTTATACAATCATATCACATAAACGATTACAGATAAGAAGAAATGCTTCAAACCAAAGATAGCTGACATGCAGTAATACACATATCTGGTCTTGTATCATTTTTCGCATATTACGATAGAGCAAGAGTTATCAGGGGAAGAGCAAAGCGGACCGCGCCAGCATTTGTGCGAGGTGTCGGCGCACTCCTATGCATTGATCAACAAACTTGATGGTGACAGACAGAAATGAATCAAATTAAAAAATTTCCTCATCAAATTAGTCATATAATTTTTTCTTTCAATTTTTTCCCCACGTCTAGCCGTTAATGAGACATTAACACTCTTAGGGTTCATGATAGGGAAAATTAGTTACGTTTTCGTTTAGTATAATTTTGCGAGTAAGCGATCCGAGATACGAAAAATAGTTCGCATCAATATTGTGGCCCAAAAAGACAGTTATCCCACTTTGCATCAGCGTTCCACTTTGTCCCATCCCCCCCCCCATTTCACCCTTTTTGAATCCAACCAACACCATTATTCATTACTTACTTCAAGAATTGTGATCGCCCAAGAAGAAATCCAATATTCAACTGGTAATGAATTAAGTTAAATTCGAGGGTGGTTTACCCCCTACACCACTTTTTTCGAAAGAAGCGAAAATCCGTATTTGTGACGTTTGCTCGCTCGTTTAATAGCCATGCATACTATTAAAATACGAGCGTTATTTTTTTTCACAAAATTTATTTGGATTTGAACTCCGATCATTTTTTTGGAATTGACCCTATTCAAATGCAACAAACACCATTTTTCATCATTTTTCTTGAAGATTATCATGCATTTGGTTTCGTTCTAAAATTTTGAATGCCACTATCTGACACAGTCAAATGGTCCTGAAAACCTGTCAACTTCGGAGGTTGGTTTCACCCCCTAAAAATCTTTATCCGCAGAAAAAAAAACGTATACCTTAGATTTTAATGGGGAATAACATATTTCAAGCTCACCGAAATCGGTGACATTCGGGACGGTTTCCTTGTTAGTAAGAGGAAATTGTGCACACTTTTTGAATTGTGAAAATTTTAGGACAATTCTTCATGGAGATTCCCATTCTTCTCTTTGTTCGAGATCCACTTTATTTTATCAACCATTTTACTATAGAATTAATTATTCTGCTTATGATTAATGATCCTAGCTATTTCGAAAATAATTGAATATATTATTTTGATTCCATGAATTTCAAAGTTTATCCATATTTAAATTGCGGTGGAGAAATCGTAATACATAATTTTGATTGAATAGCGACGATTCAGTATCTCATATTTCTTCAATCAATTGCTCCTTATATTTCAGATAAAGTACCGGAAACCGCAAGATGCAATTTTGAAAATGGTTGGTGCGGTTGGGTAAATGCACTGGACAGTCAACTCAAGTGGACTCTCCATCATGGCTCTACACCCTCCGAACGAACAGGTCCAAGTTATGATCACACTTATCGCAATGAAACTGGTGAGTTTTCAAACTATGTTCTTTTATAATAACATCAAGAATTTATTAGAAACTCTAAAACGGATGGGAGAAGGCATAGTAACAGGAGAAGGGAATTCGACGTTAATGTTAGAAAACAAATATTATTAACCAAATTAATTAGCATAGTTGAGTGGAATATATTCTATATATTATATTGCTGTGAACTGTCCGTATCACTTAAAATTATAATGATTGCTCTATATTAACGTAATGTGTGTAATTTGTTAATCCCGCAGACGCAAAATTACTGATTTTTCACGAATACTCAACAAGTGTTGACCACACATGCCGGCGCGGCACTCTCGTGCCGATTCTTGCATCGTGCTAATTATCGTATTTCATATATTGTTATTAATGTAAATTGTAGTCAATTATACGTTCTCATTGGCAATTATTCATCTTGTTAATGTTGTCAAGTCAATTTGATATTATTATTGAGAGTCGGTTTCTGAGAAATTCGTAAATAATGAACTTGTATATTCTGTCCAACATAATTTGTCTATTATTTCTTGAAAATTACTTTCTCCCGTCATTGGATCGTCCAAGACACCTTCCTTAGTAAAAGAGTCTATAATATTCTATTGTCAAATCGTATTTGTTAATTGTGATTAAATCAACTGGCGTCCACTGGGTTATTATTGATTATTTATTATTAGTACTGGAGCCGCGACAGTGTTCGATCCAGGCCGCATCGAGGAGAAGAACAATTAAAGTCAATTATTGCATTGTCAATGAAATTATCAGTAAATTAAATAGGGAGAAACGTTTTTCTAAAATGTTATGTCTAAAATATTATATAATATTTTACATCACTCCTTGTAGACGTCGAGTTTGAAGAATTTGGGCGAATTCGTCTCGAAAACTTGCACACGATTTCTTAGACTGCAAGAAGGATTTCAGAACCCTTTTGATCTCGAGGGAGTATTCACATTCGAATTAAATACTGTCTAAATCTAATAGATTATACTTGATTACTATAGTACTAGAATATAAGAGTGACCCAGTATTGGCCGTGGGTAACCCGATGTTGGCGATTATCTGTCATTCATCACTGATCAGGGATGGTTGCGATTACATAGGACACCTACACTCGACCCCGGACTCTTATGCTATTCTCACCATAATTTTGGCATAGTTAGCTTGGCAGGAATTGCGGCTTTAGGTAAATAAAATCCATGGGCGTGATTGAAACGATTTTAAACAATTACATTGATTTGAAAAGTTGATATCCTGATTGTAAATGCTAATTACCAGAAATGTAATCATTTGATTTTGGTGATTACAATGACTCCGTTTCACTGTGGCTATAATTTGATTACATCAGCGAGAAGTGCAATGATTACGAACGTGAATTGCCCGTCGCAATTTCTCGTCAATTGTTGGATGATCTCACGCACGGAAGAAAAAGGTCATCAGTAATGTTTCTCTGAACTATTTTGTTTCTATTGTAACGTGACATTTTCGTATGGGGGTTAAAAATGCCTATTACCTTCGCCCTTCTTCCCCTTCATCTAGTTAAACTCAAAAATACAAAAATCTATAGGCGCCAGGTAATTTTTAGCCGGATTTACCAAACCGGATGATTCTACAAAACCAATTCTAATTGATTCCAAAACCTCAAAAATTTACACAACAAGGGAGAAAACTAGATTTCTAGGGAAAGGTAACGGTCCTGGGTTCGCTCAGTGTGCTAGGTTGTGGAGAGAGGGGTGGATTTCAGGTGGAGACGGGTATTGGGTGGCCAAAACTACAAAAAAAAGGAAAAGAAATCAACATCGTTCTTACGTGTTTCACTATTGAAATATGAGAATCACCAATTTTTCAAAAAAAGACATTTCAATTCTCTCAAAAAAAAATTTATAAAAAAAAAGAAAAAAATCTACAATTAATAACTAACAATACTGATAATAATAATAATCATAATATTAATTCCGCACTCTGATAGGAATTAGTCTAATCTGACAAAAATATTCGAAGAAATTAATATCACCGATAAATACCTCAAATATGCCGAAATAAACATTTGGGGAGAGTAGAAATACACGCTAATCCCTAAATACTCCAGAATTCCGACAATTGGGGGGAAACGTAT